ACTATTGCATATATATTCATATATTAGTGTATACTAATGCATTTTGTTTTCTGTATTTTATATAAAGTACAGAATATATAAACTACAGAAAATATATATACATATGTTTATATATATAGGCAACACTACACATTGTTCTTAAACTTTCTCACCACCAAATAATTAAAATCAGTCTATATGAGCAATACATTCATATTGAGGGTCCTGGCCTCTTTTCTGAGAGCACAAAGAAAGTAATATATTAAGATACTTTTTTATATTAAAAAAAAAAACACTGTACCTTCAGTGAAGGATTGGAATGTGATTTTTATAATTGAATATTTTACTTTGTCACATATTCGTCAAATTGGGAGCAGAGAGTATAATTGTCTTTTGAAGAAGCTCAAGGATGTACCAAAATTAAAATTTGTACAGATAGATGGACTTGGCAGATATTAGATTTGCTTTTTGGTTTGTTTGCTGTTGTAGTATGTGTGTTCTTTCCTTTGGAAAGATATAATTGAGCATGTTTATAAGCTAAAGGGAGATGAAAGACTCATTCTTCAAAGTCTAAAAATGTTAGCGCCTGAGAGTAAAGTTGATGGAGAATTTCAGCTCTAGCCCATCACTACCATAAAAGTAAATTCAAATTTAACTTTATCTCAGATAAATAATAGAAATAAAATATAAAATTTAATAAAAGTTTCAGAATGATTCACTTAAATGGTTAAGTACTTTGATAGACATAACCACAGAATAGTCCTACCTAAAAAAGGTGAATTTCACTTAATAGAAATAATAATAATACCAATCATAATAATCAGATCTAAAATATAACTGTGTGCTTTCTATGTGACTGGTACAGTTAGAAATGCTTCGCATGTGTTACCTAATTTATTCTACATGATTCTCCCCAACAGCTGCAGGAGGTAGGTAGTATTATTATGTTGATTTTATAGACAGGGATACAAACATTTATTTCCCCATGGTCCCACAATTAGTACTTGACACCCGTAGGCTATGAATCTAGGCAGTCTGAAAACCTTACTCTTAGTGTCCGAGCTAAGGAAACTGTCAAAACTGGACTGATTTAGAGCCCAGAAACATGAAGTATGGAGCCTCCCCTTCTTTCCTCAGGTCAACTGATGCTCTTTCAGATTGCGCTACCCTTGTGGGCTGTCAACTCCCCAGCTCCCTGGATGTATCGCTGCTATAAATCTGTACCTTAATCGTTGTAACAGGACTGTTTCTTTTTCAAGTATCAAAATCAAATTCTGCTCCGTAAAAATCTTTATAAATGAATCCAATGCAACTTGTTAGGGTGCACCTAGAGAGATTCTTGAAAACAGCAAATAGGGCCCATTATACAATTTTGCAACAGATGGTTCATTTCCCATCAGCAAACAAAAGATCAGCTGTATCACCAAACAGTTTCACTTAGATAATATTCCCCTGAATATGAAGATTTCTACTTGTCAAAAAGAAATCTGCTCTTCAAAGGAAGAGAAATAAGAACTTTTAAAAATAATTCAGCTGCACTCTGAATGATTTAAGGCATATGCTAGCTGTGGACAACCTGGTCACCCTGCTGTAGTTTCAAAAGAGCTGTAAATGAGACAAAACCATGAAAGCTCATTGTCATTTCTCTGAGTGACTGGAATAGAAGAATTTTCAAGTACCTCAGCAGGTACCGTTTGTTTCTTTCACATTTGTCTCATTTTACTTCTTTTCCCAACCCTGATTTAAGCAAAAAAAAAGAGAAACATATGTAGGAAACAATGAATCCACAGTGATCACATCATATGTTTGTATGACACCTTTTCAGATTGTTCTAATATACTTTAATTGTTTTTGTACTTTGTACACTGTTTATTGCATTGTTTTGCTCATGGTAATTTGTATTTCTATTTGCTTGTTCTGTATCTCTGTAAGGCATCTATGGACTGTAATTGAAGAATTACTTCTGTTGTTTTAGGCTCTTGATTTTTTCATTACTCTTGTTCCAACAATTATTAACCTCTTCATTTTCTACCATTATTTGTTCTGTTGTCCAGTAGCTTTGTTTTTCACCTACTAATATGCCAATGAAGATATTTTGTTTCTATATCAACAACTAGAAAAATACATTGCCATTTTAAGGAAAATATCTACTAAAAGTTAGTGAACATTTTCTGGCAACAACAAAAAAAATATGAGGTTACTCAGCTTTTAACATGTATAAAATTTACCTTGCTTCTCAGGTCATTAATAGGCATTTTTCTGCCACCAAACTAATAACATTCATAATTGCTAAGTTTTAAAGCAATATTACTCACCATAAAAAAAGTATATTACTTTGTTCATTTAGGGCATCAGTCTCTAGCATTTTTGAGCATGTAGAGTCCTTTCAAAGTAAAGTTGATAAGTTATGGAGCCTTAATTCACTCATTTTCTTAAAAATGTATATGAATTTTATTTGTAAGTATTGTATTCGCTAAAGAATGTTTCTCAGAAGATTTAGACTTCTCCAATGTAGAATCTATAGCAATAGAGAACAATCATATCATTTTCATACCTGAAGTCTTAGTAAGATTTACACTCATGCATTTCTCTAATAAGTTTAATTACACTTCTGTGTCTACAAAGATGACAGAGAAATGGCATGAATATTCTCTAGGTCTATTCTCTTATCTAAAGATAAGAGAGATGGCTTGCATATTCTCCAATGCTAGTCAACTGAGTGATATTGTCTGAGTCTTGGTTAACTGAAATCTATGAAAGTCTCTCTCTCTTATACTCTTTCATGTTATTTCTTTACATTTTTGCAAACTTTGAAACTTATTATTTTATCATTTAAATGATATCCATTCATTTTGTTTTGTTTTCTTTTTCTTTCTCCTCTCCTACAGAGCCAGTTCCATATTTCATTTTCTACTCAGTCCTTGACAGCCTGAGCAGTTAGAGAAACTTATATACAAGAGTTAACTATGTTATGTTCAAAACACCATACAGGATTGTTCACCTTTCATCCGGATGTTAGTCCCCACTGAGTAAATAAAGGAAACTAGTCCAAGATGATCTGTCATGTTTGGTCTTATGTGTTGCTCAAGTTAAACTTCTAAGTCATCCTATTATTCACGAGACTGCAAGTACAGTCCATTCTCATGAATAACAATATCAAAATTAGACAAAATAAGCTTTAGCACTTATGTACTAACCACAGCACGTGTATTTAAGTCAAATAAAAGTTAATGTTACTAAATCTAATTATTATAAATTACATGTCTACTTTAAACTTATTACAAGATTTATTTATAGCATGTGTAAGCTAATGTTTTATGTAGATTCAGTGGTGGTTGGTAGATGATGTTTAAACAATGTGAAATTATATTTTAGGTTCTAATGCAAATATAATCTGTATTACCACATATGAGGAGAACAAAAATAATTGGAAGGATCAAATCGATATGAGAACAGAAGTAAAAATAAGAAATATTTTAAGCAAACAATACATGCATGCAAGTATAATTAATTATTCATAAAATGATTATTTTACTGAATTGAACCTTGCCTATCTTCTAACCTAGATTTCCTTGAACATATGAAAAACTGAGATCCAAAGAAGTCTTGTTACTGCCTAAAGAGTAAATCGTGGACAGACCTTGACCAGAAACCTGGCTTCTCAACTTTTATCCCACGAAAATTCCTTGAAAATAAACTATTTCAATCAAATAATTTGCTTTTTATTACTTATGTTTCCAACAGGGAGACCCACCTGCAGCTGTGCACTAGGTTTCACTGGGCCAAACTGTGGTAAGACAGTCTGTGAGGATTTTTGTCAAAATGGAGGAACCTGCATTGTGACTGCTGGAAACCAGCCTTACTGCCACTGCCAGCCGGAATACACCGGAGACAGGTGTCAGTACTGTAAGTAAAAGCAGCACCCAGAAGCCAGCTGGGAAGCATGCTTTGATGTTTACATTAATCTTCTGATTTCCTGTATCCACTCCTTCCATTATCTTAATTTTAGCCATCCCCTATTTTTCAGGTTCAGTCTCTGTCACTCTAACAATTATTTATCCATTCTTCACCTTTCTCTTATTGTAAAGATTTTATCTTTCTTCCTCCCTCAGCTTTGATTCCATGGTCCATTATTATAACCATTCCCTGTGTACACCCTCATCTCCCTTACTCTCTCTTCCCCTCTTTTGCACTTCTTAGCAAACCATAACCATAGTTAAATCCAATTCTCCATCTCTCCTGAACTGACATCCCATAGATGAATGCAACTGAAGAAAAACACATAATTATATTGCTTGGTCTCATTTTAATTCTATCACTAATTTCAAATGGGCACTTACTAAGCCTTTCTATGCAGTTCCCTAATCCACTGACTCTCCCACTCCCCTAGATGTCTATGTCACACCTCCTCCTTCTCATGAAACCTCCAATGCTTTCTCCCCAACTTTACCCTCAGCCGAGAAACTTGCTTTATATTTCATTGATATGAATAGAAACCATCTAAAGAGAGCTGCCGCAAACTCACATTAGCACATCCCCCCAGCTTCTTTCTCCTATGCCCATGAATTTGTCTTTCTTCTTGTTACTAGGAACCCCAGACTACATCTAATCCTATGCTATCCACCTCATGTCCAGACCCCTCTTGGCTACTCATGAACACATCTCCCACAACTGTCCCCTCTTTCTCCTGCTTTATGACTACTTTCCTGTCTGCCAAGTTCTTTCTGGAAAAACCTTCACTTGTGCCCCATGTCTTTCTTGTAATAACCTTATTTTTCTGCTCTCTCCCTCTCTTGCTTTTTTAACAGAAGACTTACTTGAAAATATAGTTGTTATCCACAATTATTCTATTTATATTTTTTCTTTGATCCCACCTCTGTCAAGTTTTTGTCTTTGCTGTTCTGCTGAAACATCTTTTATGAAAGTCAAGTTAATTGATTTTAGTTAATGTCTTCCATGTTGCCATATGTAATGATCAAATCTCAATTATTATTTTACATCTACTTTCAGCAGTTAATCATTTCATCCTTCTTAAAACATTGTCTACAAAGATTTTCATTCCTCTAGCCTGTGTTGTGTTATCTATATTATTTAAATCTTTCAGATGTTTCACACATGCAACCAAAATTGAGACCTACTGCCTCCACAATTTCACCCAATTGCATGGGTTTTTTTTTTTTTAAATATCATCCAAATATTAATGACTGTAAATTTACATATCCAGCTTAACCTATCTCCTGAATTACAGGTTTTTATATCTAATTGTCTGTTTGACAGCTTGCTATCATTCTAATGTAAACTGATTTGTTTTTACCCCAAGATTTTTCAACAAGTTGAGTTTCCCTTATCTGAAATGCTTGAGACCAGAAGTATTTTGGATTTCAGATTTTTTTGAATTTTAGAATATGTCCATCTGTATGAGGTATCTTGGGGATGGAGCAAAAGTCTAAATACAATATTCCTGTTTCATTTACACTTTATACACACTGTCTGAAGGTAATTTTATATATTATTTCTACTAATCTTAGCTCTCATTACTGGAGGTCAGGTGTGAAATTTTCCACTGTGGCATCATTTGGCACTCAGAAGTATCGGATATTGGAATATTTTACATTTCAGACTTTCCAATTAGAGATGTTTAATCTGTACTATAGTCATTTCTAGCTCTTTAAAAGAAAATGTACTCACTGTCCAGACCAAAATAATTGAATTTTTTGATCCCCCTTTTTTTTTAATCTCCTGTTTTCACTCTCAATTTTACCTTTAAATATACTCAGCATCTGAATACTTCTCACCACTCCATTCTACCAATATCTCTTTCCTGGATTGTTACTAATGGATCGCCATGCTCCCTTTCTTTGCCCCTTAGTATCCATTCTCAAAAGGTCAGTCATAGTTCATTTTATTCACAATAAAATTGCTTTCTATCATACTCACATTTATTGAGATTTTTCTACACCCAAGGACACTTGTAATTAATTCCTTTTTTGCATTATTTTATTAATTTATTTAATCCTGTCAATAAACTAGATATTGTTTTTACTCTCACTACAGAAGAGGACACTAGAAAAAGATAAACAGACTTCTGAATATCACGTATTCAGCATTTGCTAGAGTCAAGATTCAAACCAGGCCATCTAGCTTTAGGGCTCAGGTCACAGGTCACACCTCCAAAAGTTACATTAAATATCATTGAACTTTCACAGAGAGTGGCCTAGGTCTTTGGTCATTTTAGGAACTACGTGGGACAGCACAGAGTCAAGCTATAATCATTGGCTTATTTGAGAATCAAGCGTAATACTTAATATCTTGCCTCTGATGGTACAGAGGGGCCACTTCTGCAGAAGCAAGAAAACATTTACTTTTAAGTAGCTGATTTATTTTCCAAATGTTTATTCTTTCCGTATTAGGCTAGCCTTTCCTTGACATATGTAGATGCCCCTCCCCTGGCCAATGTTCCTTTTCACATTGCCTCACTTATTTCTTAAATGATGTGCACCACAGGCCAGAGTTTATATGAAAATACAATCTGGTGACATCCCTACATCCCTATAGTGTTTTATAACACTACCTTATCCTTTCTCACGCATTGTTCACATCTCTGCCACCCTCATTCCCCTCCTCTCAACACAGCAGAGTATCCCAACACAACTTCCACCCACGAACTCATGTGTGTTTGCTTTCTGTTTCACCATTGTCAGACCCCAAATGACTCCATGCCAATGAAGGACAACACTACTATCCCACTTAATGAAGACCCCTATTACTACCCATCCTAGGTCTGCAGGCTCTCTTTTATTCTAGTAAAACCACACCAATTGCCCTTCCCTATATAGCCAGCTTCCCTGACTCTGCCCAACTTAAACACCATTTTCTTTTTGAAATTGTTCGAATTCTCAGTTTGAATCAACTTCTCCCTCCTCTTCTGACTCTGATCATTTTTACCTGTTGATTATGCACATTACCCTTACTTGTCTGGGATCTTTTTGAGACTACAACCAACAATGGCACTTGCCAAATGAACAAAGGAACAAAGAATCACACAAATAAATACATTTAAAAAAATGATTTGAATAAATGTTAACAAAAGAACAATCAATTTAAAATCATTTTACATTAAATGTAAAATTACATTTAATCAGTGTTCCACGATCTTGTAGCTATATGTGGTTCAACTAGAGCTAATATTTCCTCCTCTGTCTTTTGGTTCCCAATTGGTAGAGCAGCATAGAACATGTCATTTCCCCCCCTTGTTTTTATATTTCTTTAGTTGAAACAACAGTATTCTTAATTCTTTTTAAACTAAGTTTAAAAACACCATGTGGCCATAGTTTGTAGAACAGTTTGGATCCTTCCAAAGAATAAATTCAGTTAGCTTATGTTTTAATTGACAACTTAATAGAATAACAGTCTGAGGTAGCCTGATGCTTTATAAAGAGCTGCATTATAATTTTATTATCATTATTAGTAGTCAGAGCGCTTCCCACCTTTTACTGCAAAGCACTTATTAAAATTAACCAATTAATCCTTAGACAGAGGTTAAATAACTTGCTCAAGGTCCCGAAGTAGTAATATTATAGTCAGAATTGGACCCCAGGAGTTGTTGATCAAGATGTCAACAAACATTCTTGCAGTATGGTGATGCTGTTTTTTTGGCAGCATAATAAGTCTGTGGACAATGTCATTAAAATGACAAATTCAACAGCTGACAAAAGCGTAATAAATTTGGGATCTATTAGATGTAAGCCGACAAGGTTCAGCGGACCTGGTGTTCTGTCAAAATTGTATCTTGCATATACAAAACCTTCTGTCTATAAAAGAAGGAATGACAGAATGCTTCATTACAGTGCCTAATTAAAGGTCCATTAGTGGGAGGTAAAACATCAGTTCTTAGTTGTGCTGAGTAAAAACATTTCATAACTCTAATAGCAGTATAAAATCCTGAGGTCTGAAATGCAAATTAATTTTAACAGCAGCAGCCCAGGGAGGAGAGGCAAAGATAAATAATGGTAAAAGTAAAATTGAGTATTCTTCAAGTAAGTTGTTAAAGAACAAACATAGCTGCACTTCTTGCTATTCTAGAACAAGGATTACTAGTATAAATAAAAATAAACAAATGAGCGTGACATTTTGGATTTAAATCTAGGTGTTAAATATGAGGTCAACCAATATCTGAAGTTATTTGTGATTAAATGATAATAACATTAGGTCAACGGGACCAATTAAGACCGATTCAATCTGTGTCTAAGAACTAGGTAATCAAATTAAGTTAAAACCTGCTTGTCCTCTCATTGATACTTTCAAAGCCCTCTAGTAACCTGCTTGGGGAACCGTTATAATTTCAATTAGAACTAGACTTATCAGAAGTATATCTGTATGCCTTACTCTCCCTGGTTCCAATAAGTACAGACATTAAGTAATGTCTCTATCTTAATGAGTGTCTCTACTTACAGAGTTAGAAGTACCCGACAGTAATCCAAAGATATTATGTTTTGTAATCGATATTAGAACCACAGACTATCAAGTAACTTATAAAACAATTATGCACTATAGATATAAGCCTGTCATATTTGATGACACGACGGGATTATTTTTATCATTTGTCTTCTAGGGTAGCTTCATCCCATGAGTCAGTTCATCAGCGAATATGTTTTGATATTTACAATGAGTCTGTCACTATGTTCGGCATTAAGAAAGGAAATGGTGACGTCAGAAACATTTTCTGTTCTCAATTATGTGTGTGTAATGTGTGATTCTGAAAAGGAAACAAGTTATTACAGGTCAATTTAATGAAACACAGAGGCTACTGGAACCCACAGAAAGACCATAGAGTTTAGCCTTTATGAAAATTTCTTGAAGGAATTGGTGTCTAAGCTGAGATCAGAATAAATCAAGAAACTAAGTAG